TGGCTATAAACTAGGTGTTAAGAGGCCTGTGAGATAGGAGGATGCTCTTACCTTTTATGGAACTCCCTGAGGGAAGTACTGATCATTCCTGCCTGAACTGGAGAATATATAAACCTGGAGTTTCAGAACTTTTCAACCACTCGTGGGATCCAGAGGAAGACTGCAGCTCATTGCTCTCAATCTCAGCTGGACTGCAATCACCGCTTCTGACCAGACTGCAACAGCTCTCCCATCAGCAGGTTTTTCCCCTCTCCCTTTACTTTGGACTCAAGCGGGGCCCAGAGAACACCACTTTGTTCATGCCCCAGGGTACCGGGTTGTACATGTGGGTTTTGTGGGTTAGGACCAATTGTTTGTTTGTGTGATTGTACTTACTGTATTATTTTAATAAATTGTTATTCTGACTTTATAATCTCTCCTTTGAGTTGGGTTCATTACCCCTGCTGGTTAACTCCTAAACCAGCACAAGTGTAAAAGAAGTTGACCAATTTAATAATTCTAAAGATATAAAATTATGTGATATAAGTTCTTGTTTGGGTGTTTAACTCCAATTTCATTTTACCAAGATAATTAAATTACATAGAGGAGAAAATCCAGTCTGTGTTTGAAAAGAAGAAAGCTGATACATGTTTTTGAAGCCTTTTTTTTAAATGTAATTGAAAGAAGCGGGCTATTTAAACAGTGTTGATTAGGGACAGTAAATTTCAATTTCACTGCTTTTTTTAACTTTTGGTATTTAAAACTGTCTGAAACACAATCTCTTGATTGTCCTGACAAAAGCAGAGTAGTACCAGAACAGTGTCAAACACACTGTTATTCAAAAGGATAATTGAGAATGATCCAAACAGCCAATAGTAAATGAGTCTGATGGCAAAGCTGGGCAAAACTGGAAAAACTGATACAGAATTTTAGTGACCAAACCCAAAGCATAGTAATAAAGCTAAAGCCTATCCAATGCATTGTTTAAATTCTTTATAGAGAGCATACTCTTGAATGACAAACTTGCTTTTCTTAGTGATTGAGATTACAAGTTTATTTTATAATGTTTGTCAGTTTTTGCTGAAAATTTAAGGATGATAGGATATTTATATAGAACATTTAGGTAAACTGACAATAGACTTACCTCTTATCTGTTTTTTATACCTTGGAAGTACTGATGGAGCCATGGATATGGCTAAAAATTGTGGGTACAATAGGATCATTATGGAATTTCATTTAGTAGCATCTGATACAATTATTCCTGGGTAATGTCAGTGTTTAAGTGATTAAGAACTGCCTACATGTACAGACAAGGGAATCATGATGGAGATATGCTCTATGGGTTTTTGCATTAGATCAATAGATTTTCCTATCAGTTGGTTCTGTTTGAGGATGTGAAAATAAAAATCTGTTAGCATCATTAGCTAATCTCGTTTGTGTTTTCAGAATGTTCAGTAATAACAGAGGCATTAATATGGAACATTGCAGGTTGAAAATACATTCAATGTGATCGCTTCAAAGTTATATGTCTGAGAAAAAGATAAGTAGGTCATGTAAAAATGAAAATAAAGGAGAGAGGATAGACTGTGTTCTGGAAGGCCACAGCTCTGTAAAAAATTACTCTTACAGTGAACAAAGCTTCCCAACATAATGCTGAGGCAAAAGGCTAATGTGGTTCTTGAAGGTCTAAATTGGAAGTTGTTATGCAAAACCAGCTGACTCATCTTGTGCAACCTCTACACTCAGTACTGACTGACTGACATTGAAAAATTGCAGTTTTTGTGGCTTTTACAAAACTGTAGATTATGCAAGGTATTTGGAATTGTTTCCTTAAACAGAATTTTCATCACATCAGTCTTTCCTGTTTATTAGAAAAAAAGGACAGGTGTTCGCTTGATTATCTTATGGAGTACATTCAGATAATGAAATACTTACATTGGTAAAGGCAAAGACTTGAGAAGGCTGGAAGGTGGAGCTGGATATGTTTGGGTTTTTTTTATATTCAGGATACTGAATGATAGAATATAGAATTTTACCTTTTTTTTTTTTTTTTTTTTTTTTTTTTTTTAACCTGAGCACTTATTCATTTGAGGATCTGGCCTTGTGCATGACTAGACTTTAGGCAGGTTCAAAGGTTATATGCAGTGCTAGCTGTTTAAATTTAATCTCATAAAAAAGCAGTAGTTCTGAGTCCTATAGCTAATTTTGTG